CCCAATCAATTAGCCAGTTGACCTAGAAATCAGCTGTATTGGGGAAAAAGTCAAATGTGGCCATTTGACAGTCAAACCTCATGTTTTTTGACCCACATCAACATTATGAACTCATATGAACTATTTGGTCAAGTTTGGATCACAATTCCACAAGAAATTTGATCAGATCACCAAAAGGGCAAAATTGTCATTTTTAGGGTTTTGACTGCACAAAGGCAATTTTTGACTGTTTGACCTAGCCAATGGCAATTCAAACTCACATATGGACTCAAAGGACCCAATGGCATTGTCTTGACATGTTCAACAAATTCAAAAGATCCCAAATGCACAAGATTGACAGATGAAATTTTCCAATCAACTGGTCCAAATTTGACTGTATACTGAAAAGTCAAACTTTGACTTTTTGGTCAAAATCAAGTGTCAAGATTCATTTTTCATCAAGACATGTCAAATTATGAAACTTGATCATCAAGAAATCAAAAATCACAAATTAGGGTTTGAAATGAAGAAATTTCATAACTTAGAAAATTTCTAAGTTATGAAAATTCCTAATTTTTTCCTAACTTTGTCCCATCTTTTCATCAAGATACATTTGGATTCAAACAAAACTCAAAACATGAAAGTTATAGTCCATTGCAAAATCTACAACTTTGATTCACAAAGTTTCCTCAAAAGAAGCTTATAGCTCAAGTTACAATTTTAGGAACAAGGGTGCAAAACATTCTTAACTTAGAAATATTTTGACCTATTATAGGTAGGATTTTTGCCTAACTTCATGGCCACTTTTCACATGCTTCCACTTGGAATCTCAACTTGCATTACAAAGATGGATTGTAGTACACATTCCAAGCTTTCCAAATTGTCCAAGAACTTATCAAACACCCTTGTGGTTAGAGAGAATCGAATTTGTCAATATGGGCAAAAGTCACTTTGTTCATGGCCATTTTCATGTTCATAACTTAGGCATTTTTGAACTCAGCTTGCACAACTAGATTACAGGCCTTTTATCTCATCCACACTCAATAATTTAATGTCAATCCATTGTGTTCTAGCATTATTTTGCTCATTTGGTCATTACACACAAAACCAAGCCATATTTGGAAAAAGTAACTTATCCATTCTTGTAAAGCATGGCTTTATGTCAAAAGCAAATCAAAGAAGTACAAAGCATATCTTCTAGGCACAAGATTATGGACTAATCCCACTGATCAAGGAGAGATTATGCAGCATGCTTGAGGGACCTGCCTTGGCCTATAACCCCAACTTGCCAAACTTTGCTTATGAAAGAAGAAACTTTGCATATTGAACACCAACTCTCATTCCTGTAACAACAAGCCTAAACAAACTTCTTGAGCATCTTCCAAACATCAAACCTGATCTGAAACACGAGCCAACCACCTTTTAATACCTCCCCAAACACAGAAACACCACTTTGCTGCACAAAATAGGGCATCCCTGCAGATTGAGTTGCACAACTCAGTTTGCTCGTGCGTTTTGGCCAAAGCTTGTTCATACACACTCCCTACCATCCATTGAAGCTATCTCAAGCCCTAACTACAGACTGTAACACCTCTAACCAACTTCACCATTTTCATTTTTTCAATTGTGCAGGTTAACTTCCATAGCTCGTTTCAGCTAGTTCCAAAGCAAGCTAGAGGTTGGAGAAGCATCCCTGGACCTCAAGCAAGCTATACAAGTCCTCACATTGCATTGAAAGTACCTCCATTGTCATACACGATTCAAGCTGAACAGGTAAGTTTTTGAACTTCTATCTCTCTATCCAAGCATATTTAGGCTTAAGTTTGTGAAGAAAGCATATTCTAATCATAGCCCTGAAGCCATCCATATAGTTACTTTTCATTTATATTGTGTGTGCTAAGAGTATTTTGAACCTGAACATTAGGAAAAAGTTAGGCCAGGGAATTGGGGGGAGAAGAAATTCTCTCTCATTTCTGAGAGTTAGATCAAGTTCTTTATATGTATGGATTCGTGGTTTGATGCCCTACATTTTTGATGTTATAAGTTTTTGTTAAAAGTCAAAGGATCAAGAGATAGCAGGGACAATGGAAAACGCGCGCTTTTTTGTGTTTGAAGGTGCTGGAGGTTGAAGACAACCACCTTTGGGCTGGGCCTGTTTTGCTTTTCTGTTTACACCACTTTTTCACACATACACCCCCCTAGCCCATTGTATGATATACTTGTCATTTTTGATTTTTGATTTTTGATTTTGATTTTATATTTTTATCCAAACATGAAAAAAACACTAAAATTATTTTTCTCACATTTTTTGCATTTTATTTGGATTTTATTTGTTTTGTTTTGAACTTGTACATAAATAAACAAAATACCTTTTTTATTCAAAATACAAAAATAATACAAAATACATTTTTATTTTCTGATTTTATTTTATTTTATCTTTTGAAAATATTTTCTAAAAATATATACCTTTTTTTTTAAATAATAAATATTTTTATTTCTTGTATATATTTAATATATTTAATACATAATATAAACATTTATATATTTAGAATATTTAGGATAAATATAAAAATAATACATTTTTATTTTTATTAATATTTGACCTCAAAAATCACTTTTTTTACAATATACTTCTTTTTTTATTTATTTTTGTATATAATTAATAAATATTGCATATAATAAATAATAAATACCTCTTACTTAGAAAAATTAGGGTTTTGCCCTAAAAACATGGAAAATATCAAAAAAATTATCCTTTTTATTTTTGTTTATTTGTCACATGAAAAACACTTTTACATACATATAAAAATCATTTTTTGCATCTTGCATATTTATTTTATTTTATTTAATTATTGTACAATTAAATAACTTGTATATTCAATTTGGATGTAATAGTTTAGATTTAAATTTCTTGCTAAATATCCCCCCATTTGAACATTTGTACCCCCCCATCCCCATAATTATGTTGTAATAGTTTAGGACTTTAAATTTCGCATTTTTAAGCTTTCTAAATATGCCATGATAGACTTAGGGTTTGTATGCAAAAATCAACCAAACAAATAGCTTGACCTAATTCAAAGATAACAAAGCATGAAAATGGACAACACCAATCACACTTGCACCCATAGGGTTACTCCACTTGTTGCCTTCAATAATGGGGCCATGTTGCATGTTGAGTGTTTTTGGAAAAACAAAACAATATCAAATGATCATAGTCCCTCGATGACGCTTTCGAAAGTTGCCTAAAAATGATCAAGTCCCCTTAAAGGAAAAATTGCCAAAGACACTTGGCACCATTGCAATCATGGTCTAAACGATGACCCACGCCTGTCCCGTTAACATCCTAACACAAGATTGTCCACCAAATACAATGGTGGAACAAAATTGTTAAAAGGGTTAAAACATAGGAAAGATCTTTGAGAAATTTAGGGTAGATAGCTCTTGGTTACTTGACCAAATCTTGCAAAACAATCCTTGCCATTTTTCAAAACACACATCACAACACACTTTCAAAACAACTTTCAAAAACATTGGAAACTTTTTAAAAGACATACACCTTTGTATACATTCAAACATGAATCATTGCAAAGGTTGCCACCACATTGGCCCTCTTTTCAAAACATTTTTCAAACCCACACACAAAGCACCATTTAAAACAATTGAAAATTCAAGGCAAGTGATCTAAGCAAGTAGCTAAGAGCCCATGGATAACCATGGATAGAAAGGGTGCTAATACCTTCCCTTTCTATAATCTACTACCCCGAACCCAAGAAAACATCTCAAAGGTTTTTGCTGTGCTTTTTAACCTTTCCTTAGGATAAAATAAAAAGTCGGTGGCGACTCTTGCTCAACCGAAAACATTTGCGAAAACAAACGCAAAACCCAAGTCAGTTCTCCCACCGTATCACAGAACTGGCGACTCTGTTGGGGAGTATTTTTAAAGTGGAGTAACCTTAGGGCTTAGATCACCCTCTTGCATGACTAATTGTTTGCTTTGATTGCTTTATATCTTGACTCTCTTGTTTGGGCTTGAAATCCTACACCCGGATTTGGGGAAACATTCATAGATAGCAATACGTTGTGGAAACTGTGCGGGGTATACCGACACGGTTGAAGCAATAACTATATTAGTGCGACATATTTGTGAGTACCGGTAACCCTTGAGTTCAATCAAGGAGAGTACGGGGCCGTTGAGTGATGTCACTAAGCACTAATGACCTAGAACCTTACTTGACCATCTTGGCCTTTTATTAGGGGTAGTGAGATGACCGACTTTGGTGCAGTCCGAAGTTGGTAGATACTCGATACTACACTCATTGAGGGTT